CTTACTACAGTAGTAGTATTGAACATTGTATGATAAAGTCAGTCAAAATCGAGACCATGGGTAATGTACATACAAGTTTCCTTTTTACAATATTCTACAGTGCAGCAACTGATTTCAGACATGAAGATTCATTGGCTAGGATCTCCAGCAACAAATTAACCATTCTTTCAGAGCACTCGGTTTCCGACCAATGATTTACTTCCTGATTGATCTATGTAGCTTTCTAATTTATACAGACTAAGGATAGTTTTTTTCTTTCATTTTTTCACTTGTTCGCTAACTTTTTGACTATCGAGTTGTTTTTCTTTTGGATAGTAACTGTTTAGAGATCAGGAGATAGTCCTAGTACATACACTATCTGATTGTCAATCTGAGTTGTTTGGGGGATTCTCCATTACCTTGCGCGTATGGTATATGTGGTCAGATGACAGTCGAAACTGACCGTCATGGTACCTTAAGAAATGTCATGTAGAATCGATTGCCGTAAAGCAGACGTTACCTAATTCATGTCTTCATCATAAAGTTATTATCGTTGTATCTCTTCACTGCTTTTATCTCATTTTCTGTTGACCATTCATCTTCTTATGCTCAGCTATCCTGGAGCAGTTCTTTTTCTTCTAGCATCACTTCAATAATAGTCTAGGTATATCTTCTCATAGAGGTTTGCCTACGAAGCGTAAAACTAGTATAACCCTCATGATGATGACAACAGAAAATCAACTACTAAATTCCGGACATTATATATAGTTTGTATTTGTATAACTTATGGAGTGTTTGAAATGAAAGAATTTCAACGTTTTCGACGGAAGTCTGCTCCGAGCTTCTTCAGGGAAATAATCAAAGTTAAATATCAAGGATATATAAACGAATCCATAGACATATATTTAATCTCCTTGCCCGATGGGCTGGAAACAAGTCCGAATCCGTCAGCGGTCCAAATTCTCACCTCACCTTCAATCATCACCCACTATCAATATCTCTGATTGTATGATTTAGTGTGTGTGTTTTATACTATTCCTATCCTCCCTGGGTGTAAATACGAGACAAAAAGGTCACTGGTGACACTGTAGTCATCCGGTGATTTTTATAAGTACGATAATAATAATGATAATAATGAGTCGAATCAATCCGGTTTGTGTATTATCGCTGATGCAGAGATGATAAAGTTGAGACTGGTGTTGAAGGTAGTTTTTACAGTCAGTTTCCCTGCTTACTACTTAGTAATTGCCAAGAGGCAGCTAACTGTAATCCATCTCGTCCGTTCAAACTGTCTGGATTTGTTCATATACATCGGGCTTCAGCTGTCAATCTTCTTGGTATGACCCAAAATCTTTTTGTAGAACCTTGGTTCCGTCAGAGTCGATTTTGTGATCTATTTCTAAAGAGTATAGTGCGATTGTTAATTTGTCTTCTTTTTAGAATATCTGATTTAGGCATAGTCTATGCTCCTTCACTCTTACATTCACTTGGCTGGTCGTCTTCCCCATATATACTGCACTAAAGTCAGCGCATGTGAATTCATAAACGCAGTTCTGCTGATTTTCCTTAGGTATTACACGCTCAACTTTCATTCAGTTAGACAGCAGGGTACTTGTAGTGATGCTGTGTCCTTTGAGCTGAATGGTTCAATGGTGAAGCTTTCATTGTCATTTTAGACAACATCCTCAGCACAAACTTTAGAAGGAAGTTCAATCATCCTGCTTACAGAACACAACATCATCACAATTATCCACAAATACTCTTCATCATCTCAAAAGTAGAGTATTTGTTGAACAAAAATAAACTATTATGTCATATTTGTTGAGAGTGTTTCTTCATTCTTCGCAGTTCGCCTTACGATATGGATTTATCACTGTGTTGATCCAGTTCTTCACAGAGTCTCAGTATATTCTTAATTTCTTTTTTTAAAGTTCTCATGAAATCTGAGATGATTGTTTGCTTTCAGTTTGCGGCAAATTGACTTAAACTATTTCCCCCCTTGTCCTCTTTCGTTGTAACAAAATGGTTAGCCCTGTTAATCAGATTCCGTGTAACTGTTACTTTAGTAGTCAAAGGATCTGCAGACTGATTATCTAGGTATCTGTCAGAATGTGTTGTTTTTCCTAAAAATCTTTTTAATTCATTGTAATGCTGTCTTTCCACCATACAGTCCAAATTCTTTTACAAACTTTCTTACTTTTTCTACTTCATTTGCTGGCACTGAGTTTAGCAGATGCAAATATAACTATTAAAATTGCTAAAGTTGATGTTTTCCTTTCTTTGGTCCATCTGCCTCATTTTTCTTTCGCATAAAAATGACAGCCTACATGGTTGGGGTCCACGGGACAAGAAAAACCAGTGGTTGGAGACTCTAGGTGATATAGCTCAGAATCGATGTCAGTGGCGCAGATGTATATACACATTATCCTCATCTTAACGCCATACCGAATCTCACAATTTTCTCCGTCTTCCTTGCTCTTTTTTAGCACTTTATATTTCTTCTAACTGGATTTTCTTTTCTTTATCTTTCACTTCACCGCCTTTCTACTTAATGTACTGATACGAGTCGTGGCAACTTGGACCGTCACTCAGTAATCCGTCGTCCTATGTTGATTTGGATGGATGGATGGAACCTACTTGGTTAGATAATTTAATTCAATACAACTACTACTGTGATCATTAACAATGGATTAAGTTTTGTGTCAGTGAGTTAGTTTTACATGGGAATATGCAAATTTTATAGGCAAGGGGAGTAAGAGAGAAAGAATGAAGGAATCATTGGTGATAGGGGATTTCTTACAGCTATTCCTTAACTTTTCCTTCTCTATCTCTGCTATCCTAAACCTGTTTAGTTTAAAGCAGCTGAAATCTCTCAAGTCTGTTGTATGTTGATTTTTACCATTACATGTAGCTATTGCATTCTCAGAATCTTTTCAAGTATATTTTATTCTCTACTTTTTTCTTTCTAGATTCAGTGAAACTGATTTTAACGGGGGTGGGCAGGGCTCTATGTCTATTGTTTTTTTGCTACAGTATCGTAAATAGTCTGCATGTCTCAGCTTTGTTGTTCTGTTATCTCTGCTTCCCATAAACTACCTAACTAAATAGTTAGTTAGCTATCCACCCAGTCACCCACCCACGCTCTTTAAAAGTTTTATAACACTCAACTATGTTACACAATCTAATTAGGGTTATAGTTTATTTGTCTGCCAATGTAACAACAATATGAATAAAGATAACTGTATAACTGTATTGCATATACATCAATGTGACAAATATGTTTATCTTGTTTCTTTTTTTTCGTTCATCTTTTCCTTTAAAAGTATTAAGTATTACTATTTGAAAGTTCTGTCTCAACTAATAATTGGCAAATTATTTCGTCGAATTACTGGAGTGAATTTTATTTTTACTTTGAACTATGAAACGGTACCTGAGATCTCAGTCGTTTCTATCTCTTAAAGAAGGTGCTTGTTTATATCTTCATGAGGGTGTGCACACTTTAAACCAGTTTCAGTTTTAAGAAAGAACACTGTTGAAGGGTCCCACGAAACAACTGTCCAGTGCTATGGGGTTTCTAATGGTTCTATAAGTGATGTCTATCAGTGATCAGTACTACCTTAAAACTATCTAATCAATCCCCACAAATCAGAGACTGATTTGTTGTTTAATGTTTATTAGTGAAATGCTTCCGGTTGCATTTCTTGAAGTTCTAATCATCAGAAGTGTTGTGGCCTGAGGAGTCACCCGAATCAGGAGTTGGGTGGGGATACCCAATGACGGCATTGGATGATGGTCTCTGTATATTGCGAATTGAGAGAAGTAGAAAATAGTAGACCGTTCGGTTTCAACGTAGTGGTTGAATGGTAACGCGCTGGCCATGAGTTCTGATTTCGAACAAAACAGCTGCCTCTTATTTCTAGGTTTTTAATGGCTTTCAAACTTATGTCCATTCGTGATGAACACCACTGTGAAACCTATCAAAAGTTGAATTTCCTAAACATTTTGTGCTCATTTTGATCAGTCAAATGAAAGCGTTTAGGATACTTCCTGCACTTGTCTAATGGATACATACGATTTCGACTGTACCAACACTTTTCAATATCTTTTGTATGTCTACACATTTGGTCTATGTATAGTTTGTCAATCTCACTTTTCTGTGAACACATTACTGGCTGTAAAGACAGTCATCATCGTGCTGGTCAGTGATCTTTGTATGAGCATCAGCCATGATAGAACACAATTGCTTACTACTGCAGGAGCTCATACTGGTAGTTAGTGGCTGTAGATATCAGGAGAAAGAATAAGTGATAAAGTTTCATGAAGATTTAGGGAAAAAAACATGAGTACATCTTTACCACTATGAACTATGTCAGTTTAAGTCTACAGCTATCGATTTCTTCTACTGAACAGGAATCAACCAGAAAACCTGTACTCCACTCCACTTCTCACACCAACAATCTTAGACTTCATAAAATAGAACGGCATCTCTATCTGAACATTCTCCAGCTTACAGCACTACATTACTATACAGTGATATACAAGCTACTGATAGCGTTTCCTTATCAGATGGTGATTATTCTCTGTAAATATGGTATGTGCTTTATCTCATCCAAGTGCGAAGTAATCATGAATGATTGGTATAAAGTTGTACCTTCACTCAACTTTAATCTGGTAAGCCATTAGCAGAAATCCGAAAAGTTAGACATTCGAGTAGTTATATGAAGAATTGTTGATCAATGAAATTATCATCAATCTGTGTTACCACCCCAGCTTTTTCAGTCATATAGTAGGAGAGATGTCATTGTTGTTACTCCTAGGTATTGGGATATCTCATCGACATCACAGGCTGTATAGTTATCAGGTACCAAATCAACCTCTTGCACTTTAATGCTCAACAGGAACAACAACAAATGTCATATCAGTCATATATTTATAGTTTATAAATTATTGTATTGGTATCAATGGTTAAAAGAAAAACCTAATTCCTCTTTTTTTTTCTTTCTATTTACTTATGACTACAGTCATCATATTATGTACAGATCCGGAAGTTGTACGGGATATTATGTTGGAAGCGCATAAATTAAATATGGTCAATGGAGATTATGCATTTTTCAACATGGATCTTCTAAGCAGGTGTGTCCGTTTGCATTCCTATTATTTTATGCTTTTCACAAACTGATTAGTGTGGATGTAGTGTACTAAAATCACTATATATTGCAACATCATTGCCATAGAATTCAATGTCGTGATCGTTTACAGTCCGAATTGATATCGATTCGAGAATAACTCAGAACTTGGTGGGTTGTAGATAATTTTTTCACTTAAATTCGTAACTTCAATTTGACATTCATTACGGACCGAAATCAGTTGGAAAACCGTTAAAAATCTGAGAGTGCTGGCCAACTGTTTTGTTTTAGAATGGCGCTCAACAGTTGGTGTCAGTCATTGATGAACACTACCTTGAAGTGAATGGATAAATCCCCACGAACCTCTCCATTTAGGACTAAAGCTAGGATCGTCATTTCTATGTGGTGAGCAGTAAATTATCACCTGCGTAACTGCCTTACAATCCAGCAATCTCCATCTCCCTTCTTATGTCAATATACAGCACAAAGCGATGTCAGAAACAAGTATTATTCCTTACAGTAGACACGGTTGACACAGAATTTGATAACTACTTATGATCAGAACTCCAATCAAAATGAATCACTGGTTGAAACGTGTTGTAGTATAAGTTTATTGAAGTTTTGAGATGATAAACACTTTCCTTCAACCTGTTTGTCTCACTTTAACAAAGAACCTGATAAGAGTTTTCATCTATTCACTTGACGGTGGCCTGCTTAACCATTTGGCTACCAAATTTATTCATCGAACATTTTTCATCAAATTCTTTCTTTTCAATTTATTTTAATCATTTGAACGTATCGTCTACTCTTGCACATTTTTAAACTATTTCCAATTATACGTTTCTCAAGTCAGTAACAAAGCAGAGAAAAAATGTTTCATTATATGGAAGTGGACTTTTCAGTTCACAAAAGTTCATCATAGTTCTGTCCGTCAGATGCTTAGCTTGAGTTGCAGATTTCTGTAAGGTTTAAATGAACCACTACCAAAACTATACTTGCATTTCTGTTGATTCTTCATTATGGACTAGATGCCCATTCAGAACCAGATGGCTATTTCACATTATTCCTTTGAATACTGTTATTATTAGCATTATTCAGTTGTAATAACCATTTCGTCTGAAAGTATTGTTCTAGGAGTGAATTTGTTGAAAAATTACATACTGACAATTCCATACTGTCATACATATTGTTCGGAATAAAGCGATTATTATTATTATCATCATTAGTATTATTATTATTGTTATTGTTATTACAAGGAAGACTGAAATTATGTATTACTGGAGAGTTCTATAATAGACATAAATCATTGTTTTGCAATGTCTAGGTTTCATCGATTTTTTAGTTGATGTATATCCCTTCGTAAAAAAACCATTCACAAATTGAACCGGTTATAAAAAGCATCAACTATGAACTGAATTTCTGAATGAATTTTCATAAAAAACTATTTTATCTTTCAACATACAGAAGAAAAGTGTTCAATGCAAGTTTTCAACCCAGAGATAGAAAATATGCTAAACAAATGCGGAATATGACACTATTTTATCATTATTATTATTATTTGTCCTTTGGGTTCCTAGTGGAACATAGGGCTTCAGAAGCACGTAGCCATTTCACTCTCTTCTCTACAGTTTTTTAAACCTGACCCCATGACTACCCACAAGCTTCCATTTCTTCCTCACACCACCTCCTCCATTTCGTCCTCGCCTCCGACGCCAAAATCGTCATTTCCCATTTGATTTCCACTCGAGGGCCTGGCGTGGTGCGTGATGTCCCTAAACCGTTTTCTCAGTGTATCCGCAATCCATCTCCACTTTCTTCTGCTGCATATTTGTTGGGCGACAGCTTCTCGGCTGGTTAGTTCGTTGCCAGTCAGTCAGCCAGCCAGTGTTCCTTGTTGCTTATCCTTCTCATTCTCACCATCTATCTCATCCATCTTCAGTATCGAGTGAGTGTAGGCGTAGACGGCAGCTGTTCATATGATGTATGTGTGTAGTTTGTGGGGAATGCTTTTCGCAAGACGCCGCCAAGTCTCTCAACCATCACATGGAAGTACTGGCTGAATTGACTGTGATTAGTGTTGAGAATCCGTATGTTGTTGACCCTTTATGCTGAGTGTAGTGTAGTGTAGTGCATTAGATGTGTACAGTGATTTCAGATGAATGAAGGAATGCCTGTCTTTGTGTCTTTTTGATTTTGGTTTTGACGTCCTCATCTGTGCCTGTGCCGCCACCGCCTGTAGTTGAAACGATGCTGCCTAGGTAGGCAGGTGAAAGAGACAACTTCTTTCAGATCTCTCCCATTGATCGTGACTGGTGCTTGTTGTTGTTTGGTTGGGTATCTTCATCACCTCCGTCTTCTCTACGTTCACCTGAAGGAAGTCCCGTCTTCACCGCCTCTTCTGCAAACTGGTTGGTTTTCATCTGTAGATCTTCGAGTTTGTGCGACATTAGGCATTAGACATAAATCATCATCGTTGGCGAAATGCAAATCTTCTTCCGGGGTCTTTTCATTGGTCCAGTCAGCGTATGCCCATCTTCTCACAGCTCCTCACAGTTGTCTGCTGCATGATCCAGTCAAGTCCAGTCCAGTCCAGTCAACCACAATCAAGTGGATCATCGGTGATAATAGGCGGCAACCATGTCTTACTCGTGTCTTCACCTCAAAGGCACCACTGAGCTTTCCATTGTCAATCACTCGGCATGTAGATTCATCATATAGCACATAGCTGCTGTTGAATGAGTTTGATAAAGATTTGTGGCACTAAAACCATAGTGTTGAAGCAGCTGCCTGCCAAATTACTTCTCAGTCGACGCTGTCGAAACAAAGACTTTTCAAAGTCGATGAAGTTGAGGTAAGGTGGAGAGCTGATTGTCATTTATGCTCTGTTCTATGATGATGCGGAGTGTAGCTTTGCGTTGTAATTTGATCCGCACATGATTTGTTCTTCCTGAAGCCATCCAGCAGGCTGTTCTGGTCACAATTTGAATCCAGCGGATCTTTTGGTCTCTCCAGTATGATGTGACTTAATATTTTGCTTGGGGTGGACAGCGACAGCATCATGATTCCGCGCCATTTCTTGCAGAGACTGGGGTCTCCCTTCTTCGGGATTTTGACAAGGTAGCCCTGTGTCCAATCGATGAGCAGGTACCTTTCCTTTCTACTTGCAAACCTTCTGCAGTAGTGATGTGGTGTGAGCATGTCCACTGTTGTCTCTGCGTCTGTTTTCAGTGCTTCTGGGGGGATTCCATCTGGTCCTGCTGCTTTCCTGGATTTCAGCAACATTATGGCGTTCATGACTTTTGGTTTTGTCGGGGGCTTGTGTCCAATGGTAATTCTGTGCTGGGCTGCTGGTGATAATTCTGGACGAGTTACAGTTTGGTGGTGGTGGTGGTGGTGGTGGTGGTCGACTCAAGAGTTTTTGCAGTTGTCAGCCCATTGTTTCCCTTGTTTCTCCTCTTTGGTAATTAGGTTTTCCTTCACTATATTTTATTGGTTTCATCTGTGTTGATGTCTTCCCTTCTGGATAGCAGTAACCTGGTTATTTGATATAATGTTGTGAGGTGTCTGTCTCTCCCACCAGTAGCCTGTTCTGTTTCAGTTGCCAGTGTGTTGTGGAAGTGTCTTTTGTCTTTGTGCACGCTCTACTTCACTTGTTTGTCAGTGTAGTGTTCTATAGGTTGTGTTCAGTTCCTCTTTTTGTTGTTCATCCTTGCACTGAACTGCACTGGCTTATTTCTGCTTCAGCATGCTCCTCTCCCTGGTGTGTCAGCTTCCATGTGCCCGTTGAGACCTATTCCTTGTCTTGCTTCTTCTTCCTTCGTAACACGGTTATGCAGGTTTCTTTGCAGTTATCTTTCAAAGAATTCCAGTGCTGTTCCATGCAGGTTTCCTCAGGGATGTTGTTTAATGCCTTCCATGGTTTTCCTGATGGCTGACGTGAAGATGTCCTTTGTAGTTTTGTCCTTGAGTGCAGTTTCTGTTCTGGGTGTTAAACTTGAACACAATATGATATTCTTTTGATAAATTTTGTGTGTAGGTAAATTTTTGACGAGAATCAGTAACAGTATGATATTCATAGTTTTATATATGTATTGATTGTTGAATGGTAACTGATTCACCTGTCCGGTCCTTAGTTATTAATTGAAATGTAGCGATGAAATTTGTCACAAGGTTCTTTATTTAAGAAACGTGATAATACGGTGCAGTGTGTTTCGTGGTAGATATTTTAATGAGAGTTAGTTGGCATGATACACTGATACTAGATTATATGCTTTCTAATACACAGCGACGTTTATCTGAATCCATGGAGAAGCTAATTTTCCCGCAAAAGTCATAACCTTATACATCAAACTACTTTCGCAGCTGTATTTGCATATAACTCAGAGGAGCTTATTTTAGGCTTTATTCTGCATAGAATCCTGAAACATGTTTGTTACCATTTGATTTCGATTTCTACTGACGGTTTATAAATAGTATTTGGTACATAATTCATTTGTTCATACGTAATAATAATTATAATTATAATAGCTTTTTTCTAAACAAGACTTATGGTACAGCATGGAACTGTCCAACGAATCAATTCCCTGTACAATATCTTTCAGCGAAATAATCATCCCATTTGAATAATGTCAATAATAACAGTAAAAAAACCACAGTGTGAAACAGGAACCTGGTAGTACATTAGCATCTGCTTTGAACTGGCTAATGAAAAGAATATCCAGCGTAATTTTGGTGGTGGTAGTTTATTCACTCAGTGCAAAAATCTGCAGTTCGACATAGTTATCCAAAGAACATTAATATACTGTATTTCTTTGTATTTATAAAGTCCATCTGTTACCGGTGTATCCTTTATCCTTAGTTTCACTGTTAGCTTTAGAACCATTTTAAAAGTACGCAAGAGTACTTGACGCATTTAAAACACATTTATACAGTAAAAGCAAATTAAAAGGAATAAATTCGGTTGAAAATTTTCGGTAGCCTAAAGTTTAAACAGGCTGCCAGCTTGAAATTTTCGATAGTAGAACTTTCAAAGACATTTTAGCCGTCATCTTCAATACACAGAAATAATTGGTGGGAGGATCTATTTACGAAGAGTATTTGTTATAATCTTTTCCATCTAATTGTTCGGTCTCTTTTGTGTCCTCGTTGCAATTAGCGTTTCCTTCTTTGAG